CCCCAATATCCACATGTGTTTGTTGGCTGCTGTACTGGACAACACAGCTCTAGACTTATTGGATTTTTTAACAATTACCCAGAACCTTTCATTGTGGACTAATCTAACCATTAAGAAGAGGATTAAAAGGGTTATGATAAGAGTATTCAAATACTTCAAGAGCGAATAAAATATGTTTGACATATCCATATGGGGTGCAAGGTTATACTCAAACTTTATTAACTTTCTACATAGTTAAAACTTTTAAATATGTACAACTGTCCATAAAAAGGAGCTCTGGTAGCGTAGTGGTTACGAATCGGGCTGCGAACCTTAAGATCAGCAGTTCGAAACTACCAGCTACTCCGTGGGAGAAAGATGAGGCTTTCTACTCCCGTAAGGATTTACACCCTCGGAAACCCTGTGCAGGGTCGCTATGGGTCGGAACCGACATTAAGGCACTTAACAACAACAACTGTCCATAAAAGAAACAAGCAACCTCAGGCATAGGTGTTACCCCACCACTAACAATTCACTGGGGTCCTGGTGTGGTGCTATAGGACAAGCACTGGATTGCTAACCACAAGGTCAGCAGTTCAAACCCACCAGCTAATCCTTAGAAACCCTATACAGGGTCTCTATGAGTCCAAAAACAACTCAGTGACACTTAACAACATTAACAACAAATTCATTCACTACACATTCAGGAAAATTTGCTGCAAAAGACCTCTTTCAATTGCTAATGAGCAAAGATGTCAGTTAGAGGACTACGTTGAATATGCTGCTGTTGTTAAGTACACCTGACTCAAGCCACAGCATTTTCAACTGCCTCTTATGCATGTGAAGGCTGGACAGTGAATAGGGAAGACCACAGAAGAATTGATGTATCTGAATTATGGTATTGGAGAATTATTGAAAAGTACCATGGACTGCTGGAACAAACAAATCTTTGTTCAAAGAAGTACAGTTAAAATACTCCTTAGAAGCGGGGATGACTACAGGCATCTTTCTTACTCAAGACACATTGTCAGTAAAGATCAGGCCCAGGTGAAGGACCTCATGCTTGGTTAAAGCAGAGAGTCAGCAAAAAGAAGGCAGACTCTCAACAAGATGGACTGACAGTGGCAACAATGGACTCAAACATAACAACTGTGAAGGTAGGACAGGGCAGTGTTTCATTCTGCTATACACAGGGTCACTGTGAGTCAGAACCAATTTGATGGTACCTCACAACAACAACAACAACATAACATCCATTCAAATACAAACTAAAAGAACATTTGGTGAGAATTCCAAACAGGTAAACATGGAATGTGGAAATTGTACCAGTGCCCTTCAAGATTTTCCCTATACATATAATTCTGTAAACTCTTAACTGTTGGTTTTCCTGATCTTGCTTAATATATTGAATTTCACTGTTCTATATTCCAGTCTGAAATTTATTTTTTATATCTCCTTTTCTCTGTTGTGTGAAAAGCCATCAAGTCGGTTCCGACCCATAGCAATCCTGTATAGGGTTTCCAAGGAAGAGCTGGTGAGCTTGAACCACTGACCTTGTGGTTCAAACCAACTTTGCAGTCCAGCACATTAACCCACAGTGCCACACCAGAACTCCTTTTCTCTAGATCTTCGTAATTGTTTTTCTAAACCTCTCAGTCTAATATGGAAGCCACTAGTCACATATGGACAGTATTATTTAATAATTCAACTCCTCAGTCATAATAGTTGCATTTCATGTACTCAACAGCTATATGTGGCTGGTGGTTACTATACTGGGCAGTACAGAAGTGGAACATTTCTATCATCACAAAAAATTCTACTGACAACTTTAAACAAAACTAGAAAAGAGACCCAGACTCTTTTGTCTTGGTGATTACAGTCTCAGTGTTCTTAAACTCGGGTCCAATGGATAGAAGATTAAGTGAAATCAACATTCTTAACACCAATTCAGGCTGTAACCACTTAAACAACTCTGGTTCCCAGTCTCTCACCTACAAAGAAAGTCAGAATCTGGATTAGTTAACTGTAACGTAGTGGGCTGCTAACCTCAGGGACAGCAATTCCAAACTACCAGCTGTTCTGTGGGAGAAAGATGAGGCTTTCTGCTCCCGTAAAGATTTACAGCCTCAGAAAGCCTGTACAGGGTTGCTATGAGTTGGAAACGACTCCACGGCACATAACAACAAAAGTAATTCCAATATTAATGTCATACAATGATATGTACTCTACTTCCAATTAACTTTGCCAAAGCATCTTAGCGAGAGGACTCAAGCCTTTATCTGTTCTTTTACGTCCGTTCCCATATTTTGTCTCTACAGGTTGAGTAATAAATCCAAAAGGCATAGAGAAATGCTTTATCTCTCAAGAATTAGCATGCTTGAAGAATTTAGCAACCAAGTTTAGGTAATTACGATGCTATTCTGAGTAGGGTAGCCAAGATGAATGCAACTTTAAAGACTTAGCAACTTAAATTTTAGCTTATACAAGTACAGGACTGAGTGTTCTTTGCTGCTCTATAAATTAAAAGTGTTATACAAGAGGCTGCAAAAAGTCATGGAAAAATGGAATTTTTCCACAAACTTTTTGAAGTCCCCTTACATACACTGAAAATTCCTATTGAGTTAATGAACATTAAGGAATTTCTTTAATAATAATTATACATATTCATTCTAGCTGTTAAGTTTCTCACAAGGAGCCATTTTAATTCTTTCAGTAAAATTTCATTGGTGAAATCATAACAAAATAACCAGTTTCATGAATTAATCTAAATTAAATTTGACAATTACCTGTATGTTAAAATGATCAAGAATTGCAATCAGCTCTTCTTTCTTAGTAGAGACCACACTCCCTAGTTACGAGAAATAGAAATAAAATATGTTCTATTATGGCAATAATGTTTCTAAGGCAGTAATAGAAAAATAAATATTCACAAAATATAAACAAAAGAAAGATACCCCTATATACAAATCTGAATGAACTAAGGTTGCATTCTAATTATGGCAAAAGTACAACAGAAACAAATACACAGATGCAGTGATAGTACTTCGATCCTTTCCATTACTAAGCTTTTTGCTCCAAGTTCTTCTTTTCAGTAACTCTTAACCTTTACCTCTTCCTTAAAGCCCTTTTCCACATTTGGTTAACTATCTCTTTCAACATGCTGTACAAACTGCAGTTGAAGGAGGGGAGGAACTGCACAGGAATACACAGTGAGAATACAATGGCACAGTATGTTTCAAACTAACACAAACTACTGCTTGAATGTCTGGTCGGTAACTGTGTGTACAACACCAAAACAAAAAAACAAATCTACTGCCACTAAAGTCAATTTTGGAGGCTGTGTATTTTTATGGGAGCAGACAGCCTCATACAAACAAAAAACTAATCATCTTACAAGAGATTTCAAGGAGGCGAGACATGATGGCGACTAGGGTGGAGGTGCAGTGAAGTTCGCCATCAGCCATATCACAGAATACCAAGCAAAGCAGATCCAGGCCAGAGCTCCAAAACTCGGAACCACAGAGCTAGTAATATTTTAAAAGTTTGAAGACTTAAAGATACTAGAACTTGAAGCTAAAGTAAGAAATTGCATACTTTTGAATCTGCTGGGCTCAGAGGGCCGGAGCCAACATCTTGGGTGAGACCAAACATCAAGACTAAATGGGGAAGCAGAAACACCACAGAAAAATGTCACAGGAACCTTGGGGTAAAGGTGGACAACACTTTGCCAGTTTGGCTCTGTTATGATTTGCCTTATTTGTTTTGGCATCTGATCATTGGCACCCCCACTGTTTGCACACCTCCATTCTGGTGATGAGAGAGGGAGCTAAAGTGGGTGGACACCCCCACCCTCATTACTGGTGGGTTCTTCTGCCACACATGTGCACAGATACTCAGCCCAGGAACAGGCCCTGAACACTATTTTTGTTTGTTTTTTAATTATGGGAAAGGGCAGGACAGGGCTGTAGAGAGGAAAAGACACTTTAAAAACAAAACAAGCCGAAAATTAAATTAAAGCCTGAGGTATAGCATAACAACCAACACTGGCATCTTGAAATCTCTCAAGTAGCTTTGAAAGCAAGAAGTTGAAGAGAGGACATTAAAGTCATACTCATTAAGCTACAGAATAAAAAAAAAATTTTTTTGTTCTTTTTTTTCCCGCTGGTTCTGGTTTGCTGTTTTATGCTCCCCCTTCTACCTTTGGGGTACTCTCTCTCTCCCGATATTACCCAAAAAGAGTCAGCAACTGCTGCCATATAGTCAAGCTACAATCACACTCTATAAAATACCAAAACCCAGGCAAGAAACAAAACCAACTGACATATACCAGGGAGGTAGACACCATCTGTTAAAGTTACTCTGAGTTAAGCAATAAGAAGAGTGCAAAGAGAAGCCCACATCTTCATCACATCTTCCTGGAAATAATGAGAAACCATAAAAAATACCAAAACACTTACTCAATTAAGTATTAAGGCCACAGATAAATACTAAACATGTCCAAGAAGTAAAAGCAGATGACCATATCGGCACATGTCCAGAAACAAGATAAAATGTCTGAGACAAATGACCTAGAGGTAGACCTGGACTCCATTCTGGAAGGAGGGCAGGCCTTGGAAATGCCAGAGAAGGAATTCAGAAAAATGATTATAAAATGTTTCAAAACACTTTACAATGGAGTTCAGAAAAATAAGGAAGAAGTCACGAGAGCACTATAAAAAAATCAAATAAGATAGATACAGAATTGGAAACAATTCAGAATCTACAGAAAGACGCCCAAACAATTAATAATAGAATACGAGAAACAGAAAACACTCTGAAAGGGCAAAGGAATAGAACAGAAGAGATAGAAGGCAGAACCAATGAGCTGGAAGACAAATCTCTCAATACCACTAAGATACAAGAGCAAACACAAAAAAGGATTAAAAAAATCTTAGGTGTAAGATTCATGTTGGACAACATGAAGAGGAATAACTTAAGAATGATCGGCATTCCAGAACAAGAAGAATCACACAAGTCCACAGAGGAAATAGTTGAAGAACTTCTGGAAGAAAATTTCTCTAACATCTGAAAAGTGAAAAGATAAAACATTCAAGGAGTTCAATGAACCCCAGGAAGGATAGACCACAAAAAAAAAATCACTGAGACATATCATAAACAAGCTCTCCAAAATCAAAGATAAGGAGACACTCCTGAAAGCAACTAGGGAAAACAGAAGTGTTACATACAAAGGCAAGCAAGTCAGATTACGCTCAGATATCTCAGCAGAAACGATGCAAGCAAGAAGGCAATGGGGAAACATATATAAAGTCCTGAAAGAAAAAAATTGCCAACCAAGAATCCTTTATCCAGCAAAGCTATCAATCAAACATGACAGTGTAATCAAAACATTTCAGGTTAAACAGAAGCTAAGGAATTTTGCCAAAGCCAACCCTGTGCTACAAAACATCCTAAAGGGAATTTTGTGGACTGAGAACCAACAAGAACAGACAACAACCAGAGATTGACATACGTGGCAGCACCTCCCATTAAATTTACAGAAGGAAGAGTCGAAAACAGAAAAAAACTATAAGAACAAACACAGAGAATCTGGGAGGCCAGTCTATGATGAACACAATTACAATGTAAAAGAAGATAAACACGTAATACAGAGATCCAAATGGTGAGAAGTTTAGGTAGATTACAGGATAAAATACACTGCACTAAATGAAGAGAAACCTTAATGGACTATAAGGCAACCTCAAAGAAGATTAACACTTCACAACATACCAAGAAAATGAAAATCCAAGACGAACATTAAAACTATGAGGAAACTCACAAGAAGGAACACGAAAAGTATGAGCTTAACAAAGGAAGGCACACAGAACAAAGAAAGGAGAAACACCACACAAAAAACAAACATAATGGCAGCAATTAATCCACACCCAGTGATAATTACACTGAATGTAAATGAATTATATGCACCTGTTAAGAGATGAAGAGTGGCAGAATGGATAAGAAAACAAGATCCTTCAATATGCTGTCTGCAAGAGACACATCTCACACACAGAGACAAAAACAGATTAAAAGTCAAAAGATGGAAAAAATATACCAAGCTAATTGCAATAAAACACGAACTGGAGTGGCAGTACAAATCTCTGAAAAATAAACTTTAAGGTAAAAAACAGCATAATAAAGATAGACATTATGTCATGATTAAAGGGACAAGTGAACAAGATGACATAACCATAATAAATAGTCTAAATATATAAAGGAAACTCTAAGAGATTTGAAGAAAGAAATAGATGAATCTACAATAATAGTGGGTGATTTTAATATACCGCTTTGAAAAATGGATAGAATAACAAGAAAGAAACTTGACAAAGACACAGAAGAACTAAATAACACAATCAGCCAACTGGACCTCATAGATGTATACAGAGCATTCAACCCAACAAATGCACATTACACATTTTTTTCCAGTGCACATGGAACATTTTCCAGAATAGACCGTGTCTTAGGACACAAAGAAAATCTCCATAAATTTACAAATATCAAAATCCTATAAAGCATCTTCTAAGACCACAATGCTATCAAATTAGAAATCAACATTACGAAGACCAAGTAAATCAAGTCAAATACATGGAAACTAAATAAGACCCTTCTGAAAAGTGACTGGGTAGTATAAGAAATTACACGTGAATTCACAAAATTCCTAGAAACAAATGAGAACGAAAACACAACATACCAAAATCTTTGGGACACTGCGAAAGCAGTGCTGAGAGGACAATTTATTGCAAAAAATGCACACATCCAAAAAGAAGAAAGAACCAAAATTAACACATTAATACAGCATCTACAACAATTAGAAACAGTCAAACAGAGGGAACTGACAGCCACAAAAAGAAAAGAAAAA